GAGAAAAGTTATCAGACCATCTAGAGCCACAAAAGGCTTTATACAACTTTTTCACATATAGAGTATCACTCCCCAACACCTGTAAACAAACCTTATCGTTTAATACTGTACATTTGCTGCAGTAAGCAACTTAACACCTCAGGTATGTGCTTTATTATACACGCCTCAAAGTGGAGGCAGTGGGTGGTCTTTACTAGGAGCCACCTTGACAAATGTTCATATGCTTACTAAAAAACTAAAGTTTTTCCAACAAAGCAGGATAAAGATCAACATGACACCTTATTAACAATTTAACTTTAACATTTAAATGAACTTCCACATTGGGGCTATGAAGTTTAGTTTCAGTAGTTTCCTTTTTTGAGTTCTCAAACATGCAAAAAAGTTGCAAGTATACTCCCTCCACACAAGCATCAACACATCACTATTAAATCGATTTTTTCTAATCAATAAGATGTTGTCCAAAATAAGTAGTGTCAAATCAAAACTATTTCTCTGCATCTTTCTCTTTCTTCGCACTCTCCCTTCTCTCCCTGCTTCCAAATAAGCACTCCTGGAATGCGTAATTTTGTTTACAGGAAAAATATGAGCAGCACACAAACTCACACACAAGCCAGTCCAAGACTCTTCAGAGAATCTAGAAATTAATAATTCATTGAGTAGTCTGCAGTCTATCTGTAATTATTGAAATAATAGTCCTCTAAAATAATCCTCCTTCTATTCTAGGAGAGGTTAAGTTGTTGTGCAAAACCCTAAACTTAACCTTGTATTACCCGAATTAGATATTATCTAAGACGAACAAAACCCAGAGGATTTCCTACAGAGTCACACTCACTATCCAGAACTATTCACAACTACTGGCTCCAGCAGTGTCTTTCTATCAAGTATGCAACGGTGGAAAATTCCCTCCCTGGCATGCTGACACTAAATGCCGCCTTCTCCAAATAGGTCTCAGCGGATTATTCCACATGTGGGGTCTCTCCACAACATCCTCGATATCCGGCCTCCCATGGGGGAAAATCTCCACCGAGAGGAGCGGCAGGGACAAAGTCGAAAAGATCCCCTGGATTACTGGACCCGGCTAATGACTGTTTGTGGACAATGACATAACTGACATGTGGGAAATAAATGTGTGTGAAAGGGTAAGATTAAGACAATGAAGCGTAATTTTCCCACCCTGTGGGATTTGGGCACACGTGTACATGTACACAGAGCGGATACAGCAGACGTGCAAAAGCAGTGCTGTGTTTGGTGTGTTTACAGTGTGTAAGGAGGTCGAGATTCTCAGGTTGAAGTGGGTGAGTGTACTGACAGCTGAATGACAATGGTAAATGGTAAATGGACTGCACTTATGTAGTGCCTTTCTAGTCTTCTGACCACTCAAAGCGCTTTGCACCACATGCCACATTCACCGATTCTCATTCAGACATTGATGGCAAAGGCTCATGACAACAGAACTAATTCATTTTGGGGTTCAGTATCTGGCTCGTGCTCCGGGGGGAGTCGGAGATTCTTCTTATCATTGGACAACACGCTATACCACCTGACCCACAGCCACAACCTTCACTAACATCTTATATAATGGCGGTCAGTTAGTCAAGAGCATCGGACCACCACTCTCCTCTCTGTCAATCTGTCCAAGGTCACAGTTGTCTGAAACCCACTCTCCCCTTTTCAACTTCCTCCAGCCTTCACTTGAGCCCTTTTCAGACATGGAATCTGGAAGATTGCTGACTTTATCTGCAGGTTCAAGTGATGGCATTTTGTCATTCATGCAAAAGTGACTTTCACATTTCTGTTCTTACAGCTTAATTTCTTCAAAACAGCCCATTTATGGAAAAAGCTGCTTAGTAGCAGCAGGCTGCATCACTGATGGATTTTTTCGCTCATGGCGGTCATGTATCAGTTTTAGCATCTAAAATTATTAGAGTGAATTCTGCTGCCTGTTTTGAAGCATCCGACTGTGGAAAAGCATTGCATGACATTATGTTGATTTAATTCCTATTAACTCACATCCTGATGTAAAGTGTTTTGCTGGATATTCATTTATTGATCCACACAGCTGGCATGAAAGAACACTGGAAATATATAGAGTGTTTGTGCTGGTCAGATTATTGCTGAGGTTATAGTGTTTTTAATCTCTTTTGCACCAGTCACAACACAAGGGGAAAATAGTGGAGTAGAGTTTGGGCATTAGAGATGATCACTGACATTACACATTTATTACAGTGATCTTAGTGATATTTAACCTAAATCCAACCTAAATTGACGTCTTGACTTTTATGTAAAAGTGTTCAGGGCTGTTATGTTGAGACCATAATTTAAATTGCTGTCAGATAAAGGCAACGGGGTGCAAGTCTCAAATGGGATTTTTATTGTTGCTTGTCATAAACTGGAGGAGTCACTCAAGACTGGAACCAGGAGCTAAAGCAATGACTAGAGCTGCAAGTAACAATGGTTTTTATCATCTCTTATTTTCTTGATACATTTTTTGTTCAATAAGATTAAGAATAGTGAAAATGCTCTTTATAATTTCTCATAATCCAATGTGAAAGAGCACCAATAACCTTAAAACAACTGCAGCATTTTTGGCTTTTTCAGATGTCGAGTACAAATTCTACAAATTGATTTGTACAATAACTCACAGCCCACACCCACAGTATGACTACTTCTTTGTTTGTGTAACTTTCTGTGTGCATTCTTCTGTGAATCACTCACATAATCACTTGTACATTTTTAAAAGAAGTTAGATTCAAATAAGGTTAATATTTACTAAACCAAATATCATGATAATCACTGCTCCAGTAATAGAGCATGGTGGTGTTCATGCCTGATTGCTGTACAAACAGCATGAGAGCAAGAGCATGCTGTAATTCACCCTGAAGCTACGCTTCACCCAAAACGGTTTCTTTTTTTTCTTAACCATGCTCCACAACCTTTTTAAAGCCACCACTAAAGTTTAGAGGTGGAGAGTGTTTGAAAAGATTTTGAGGGGAGGCTTTAACCTCCTGCAGCCTGTCACCAAATCTGGCTCCTAAAACCCTTAAAGTAGCCGGCTAATCTCCTTGTAGAGTTGATTGACTTTGGATCAGTTGTGACCTCCAAACTGTTGCTGTTGTTGTTGTTATAGTAACACACAGACTCACACAGGGTTTTTGACATTTTCTCTCAACAGACTGTACATTAATGATAATGTAATTCCTGCTGTGTGCTTTCTTGTGCCTAATGTACGTGAGTAGTATTCTGTATCTTGAGAGTCCAAAATCAAACAACAGCTTGGTGAAAAGAGGGGCTTAAAAGCCTTAGGAGGGATTCAATTCAAGTAAATTGTAACAATATTTCGTGTGTGTTATATTGTCTTTATTTAACAGCTGTCTGTGCTCTGGCAAAGAGAGCTCAGAGGAAACGGTGAGAGGGACAGATTTAGGAGAAAAAAAGAGAAATTTGTGTCTTTTTCTTTAACTTACAACTAATGTGTCATAAGGCAGAATAATCGTTAGTGGAGGGTCTTACTTTTTCTATTCAGAATTCAGATAAAGTCAGCTGCACTGACCATTGCAGAGTTACATACATTCAAAATTAAAGATGACAGGAGTACATCGGTTTCAGGGGCGATCAAATCTTTTCTAAACCCTGCCTGGCTCCTCAGTACTAAACGCTGATCAGAAGAATCCAAAATCTTGTACCTGTAAGGCCTCGAGAGAGCACTGAGCTTTCCTTTTATCACATTGAATTTGATGCATCACAACTGACTCCATGTAGAAACTTTCAGTTAACAGTACTCTAGGAAGATCATTTTGTTTTGGTTAAGCAGCTCTTGTTCAGTGAATCAGCTTAATTCTGAATGCTTTTAAAACACACAAACACAGGCAAACACCAACACACTCTGCTTTATCAACAGTTTCGGGACCACTGTTGGGTCGGCGCTGTGAACGACGCCTACCGCCATCTGTCACAAGCTGTAGCTTAGAGCCACATTTTAACAACCAGGCAGAACGTTCAATGCCACTAAGCTCCAGAAGTACTCGTTGATGGGAGGACTCGACAGGTGGAGAGAGAGAAGAGGAGGAGGTGAGGATAAGGGTCAAATAAAGAAAGAGGAAAAGTGTGTGGGGAAGGTCAGTCTCATAATATGCACAGCTCTTATCCGGTCTGAAGCAATGGGAGTTTGACATTTAGAGGACGGGATATGTTCATGACGGTGACTCAGGGTGCTGTTATACTTAAGTATGAACCTGGTTTTTAGAAGTTATTCTGACATCAGGCAGGGAAAAGCATGTTAGTGTGTTATCATTTAAACTTGAATAACCTCATTGCATGTCCACACCAGGTCATGACAGACAGCTGTTATGTTTCTTTTGTAAATGTACATATGCCTGCCATTACTCCCTCTTTTCTTTACAGCAAGAGTTTAACTCTTCTCAAGGACCCTTTTTTTTATTTATTTAAAGACAAGAAACAAAATCAAACTCAGCTGTTAAACCAACGGGTCCTTAAAGTGATCAGTAACAATGCATATTTGAATATCTATAGTTCCGTGGCCACCAGGCAAACTCCATCTGCTGTTGAAGATCATCTGATATAATCAAAATCTTCAGAACAGCTACTAAATGACTTTCTTGACTTTCCATGGTCAAGAATGAACTTTTAAACTCAACCGATGAATCAACTTCCAAGAAGGTTCATATTTGCACACTGGAGATAAAACAACAAGACAAAATGCCAAAGAATTACTGTGGTTGAATCTGACAGTAGAAACAGAGACTATGTAAAAGTTGAAATAAAAGTATATATTCTGTGTGGGAGTTTACATTAGTGTGGGAGGATGGAAGAGCATGTGAAGAGAAAAGATTTCAAAAAGAGCCTTTCTATCGGCTTGTGAAGATCAGGCAGCAGTATGAGCAACTTTGGTATTCAGAGCTCCTATTTCACCCACACTGATGCTACAAGCAGCCGTGAACCCAAGTCAAGCTTCACACCCTCTTCCCTAAATCACTGTGTACCTGCAGGATGAGAACGAAGTAGTCGACAGGCTTGCCCCTCTGGTAGACGTAGTGATGGGACGAGCGCTTGTCGCTTTCGTTGAACTTGATCTCCTGGATCACATCGGGGTGACGCAGGATCCGCAGCAGCACCTTGTCTGAGATCTGAGACTGGCTGAACAAGCTCACCTCTGCAGGAAGACCGGAGGAAGAGACGTAAATAGTTTTACTTTTAGAACGTTATAACATTGACCATAATACATTTCTGGATATTAATATAGTTAAATACACACAGAGGTATTAAAAAAAAATCTAGAGATGCATCAACATAATTGAGTAGCAGGTCTTCTTACTGTAAACTAATTTACTGACATCACTGATACAGGTGCTTATTGAATTAGTCACTCGTGCTTTTGCTTTTAGTAAAACATGACAATAAGTTACATAATCGGTTAATATTAATAATAAACTTTGCTTTGACAACCTGAATTAATTAAAAGGATAACAAGTATCAAGTGATGGAGTAGAATTGAAAAGTACATTAAGCCTCTTTAAGTGACATAAACGGAGATTAGATTAATTAGTATTAATCAGGGCTCCCAAATGCATTCAAATGAAGATTAGTATTATTTTATTAGTTATTTCTTATATTCTGATATTGTGGTTTGCTTAAGTGTGAGACTCATGCTTGGTCTTTAAATGTTTGTAGTGGACATCAGTGAATACTTACGTATTTTTGTGTTAATACTGTATCTATTTGTTCATTTTCTTTGTCTATTGTTGCATATGTTTATGCTAATTTTTACTTTATTTAAAGCATTTTGAAATGCCTTTATGGAAGAAAGAATAATAAATATTCTTTGTTTTATTGGTATTTCTTTCTTTTTGTTTGTTCTTTTTGGTGACCTGAAAAAAGTGGGCTCTTATTGTGTGTTCACTGGCACATTTACAGTGATTTTGGTTAATGTGCATTGTCACTGTGAAAAATATAACTGTTGAAAAGTATTTGGTTTACGTGCATTCACCAACTGTCATAGGCCAGGCTGTTGCAATCAGAGCTCCACCATAAGTGCCTTCGACCCCACCCAAACTGAGAACAAAGAAACAGTGCAGTCTGCAAACAAAGCCCATGCAATACACAGTGAGAGGTGAGGCATATATATGACCAATGTTCACATTCATACTCTAAAGGGCAAACAAACTCCTTTCACCCTGGTTTACATATTAAATCGACAAGTTTGTCTGGTTTACTCAAAAAGGAAAAAAAGAACAGTGAGTTCCTTCAGTGGCTCTGATGAAATGTTACATTATTTTTTTGTATGATTTTCAAGTCAGCCAGTACATTTTATGGAGGAGATTAGCTCCCTAGAGAAGCAAAGGGCTTAAGTCAAGTTAAGTCTATGTATTTTATATCTTCCTGGTTTGTTATTGTTTTTTTCCTCAGTTCAAAAAAAATTAATCTACAGACTGGCAGAGCTTGCTGTTGTCAAATACACAAGTCATTAAACTCTTGTAATGAATCATTACATTATGGTGTTGTAATGCATTTTAAATATTCCTCATCTGGAATACATCTCTCAGTGATACTCTCCATAACAATGTCAATGGAGATCAAGCACAGCCTAAAAAGAGCTTGATAATGACCAGTAATGTGAACAGGAACAAGATAAGGAACCAGGAAACGCTAACGTCTTGGACCGAAAGCAAAACCTCTAAAAAATTAAAAATAAAAGTCCTGGGTAATAAATTAAGAAAAAAAAAAAAACAACATCCTGAGAAAGAAAACAGAAACACACCAACATTATGCCTGCAGAGGAGCAGACCCTGGTTGGCTCATGTGTCTGTGTGAGACGAGGAAGTGCTACATCATGCTAGCAGCAGCTAGCGCTAACTGTTTCTGGCAGAGCGTATCAGCTAACGCTCACTAACCGGACCCACTGCAACACGTTCTCAAGTGATTTGTAGCAGTGGCAAGTCATCGCATCCAGCTGGCCAAAGTCCAGTCTTCTTGTGGTTGTAAGCACAGGCAGGCACACTGCTTAGACCAAGTAAATAAACACATTTAAACCTCGTCCCAGCATGTATGGACCTGCCTTGCTAGTCAGATGGCAGATGGATGACAGAAACCGTCACATCCCTGACAACATGAGGATATTCATGCTGTGGTTACATATCGAAGACATGGTGTAAGTTCACATGTTTAGTTAACAAGTTATAAATGATCTACTGGCTGTGTTTAGGTGATACTGTGATGAGTGATTGTGTGTCTGTGTGTGCATGCTTGCATCAGTCCATTCCCCACCTGTAGCCAGGAAGCGATGGGCGGCCAGCAGCAGCTGAGGAGAGACCTTCACTTTTGATTCGCTCTCGTGTTTGAAGGCAGAGAAGTCTCTCTTATTCTTATTAGGTGCCACCTTTTCCCTGTGGCGGTTATCAGCTGTGAAGTTACACACACACAGCAGACAAAGTTATGTATTTAAAAAAATTACAATTAAAATCATCCCAACTTAAAGTTATATCAATGTCTAAATACCTGAAAATAGTCTGTTTACATTTATCTCAAAGAGAGAACAACAACAAACTAGATATGAATAATAAAGTAATTAAGTAAGATTGAGATGAAAACAGCTGGCAGTAAAGACAAGCTGAGTGGTAAATCAATGAATAACTAACATTTTACACAAAAGCAAGGCCAAACTTACTGTAAAGGTCTGATTCGTCCAGAATCTCTGATTTTATTATCTCCTCGATCACGTCTTCAAGGGTGACTAACCCCAACACCTCGTAGAAAGGATCTCCCTCCCCCTCGTTGTTCACCTTCTGGACAATGGCCAGGTGGGATTTTCCTAAGTGGAAGAGAGAGAACCATGAGTGGTACTTTCAGCTGATCAATTCATCCATTTAACAAGGCCTTTCCATCAAGTACACAAGACGAAATGTTTTCTGAGATAGGAAATGCATTTAACTGTATTTATTAGACCATATGGACACATGCAGTACAATTTGTTGAGAAACATTCAATGAAATAATGAATGAAACCACACAGCGGAGCTTCAGATGTTGCCATTATGTCTCTATTCTAATAGGATTAACACTGTCACCTAAAACCGAGAAATGTGGTTATAGATACTTGTTGTTTCATGATAACAAGTAAAGCACATCTACCAACAATGACATCTATTAAACAAATCAGAAGAGAACGGTGTTTCTTTCTATGAACAGATAAAGACCAATGTAAAGCTGGATGCTTTGATTTGGCTCCTGAAATTTGTTGCACCAATGCTACCGCTAACTGAGCTACAGCTATTATGAACAGAATACCAAGTGACAATGTTATATCAACATCACAGTCATGTCTTGCTCATGATGGGATGTATGGTAAAAGCTTTCTTTAGGTGCTTGTGAGCCCTCACTGTAGTCAAAATATTATTGTCTTTGCTATTTATTTATTGTTATTGTGCTATACCTGTAGAGTTACTTGGTCATAGCCACATGTCACAGAACTCATGACTGAGGCCAGGTATGTACACTCCAACATACAAACCTGGTCGAGCCCATCAATCATGACAAACAATCATATCATGATAGATTCCTATCCGATGGGAGCACATTAACTCATCGGCCCACTCCCTCTCCTTGTACCACTAATAGCCTGTTAATGTGTACAGGTCGTTACAGCTGGGGTTGGGTCTGGACTTTGGCCACGAGCGTTTCTATACAACACGAAAACACACATGTACACCAAGACACACACACACACACACAGACACCCTGCTTCAAATGACACTCTGTTCAAAGAGCACATGGACGCTGGACAGCTGCAGATTCTCAGCCCTGGTGATGCTCTGAATTATTAATTCCATTGCCAGGATATCTGGGGGTTGGTCCCCGGATGGATGATAATTTCCTCCCCCCGGCCCAGGCAAACATACAGTGCGGGAATGGGAACAGACATGAAAGCAACTGGTTTAAACCACCCTCTGTCTCACACATCCATGCACACACACACCATTAAGAGTTTGGATTTGAACAGCAGGCCAGCTAAGGCAGAGTGAGACAATTTGATTCCCAAATATAGGAGTAGCAATCTTCATTGTCAGTCACAACAGCACCTTTAAGAGCATCTGCTGTACGACACAGACACTTTGTATTCTCATCATCCCAAAAACCACTAGCGATCAAGTCTCAATAAAGGATAAAACGAGAGAAGACATGGTAGAGAGAGAGGGGGAAATCAAAAAGGTCCAACGACTGCCTCTGTTTCCAAACAGAGAGCAGCAGATCAATGGGATTTACAAAGAGCTCCTATGACCAGCAATTATAAAGAAGACCAAAGGCTATAAGTGTTTTGTCTGTGTGTGTGTGTGTGTGTGTGTGTGTGTGTGTGTCCTTGATGTCTGCCTGCATGTCCCAGCAAAGTGGGCGCTGCTGGCACGATGACACAAACACACTCCACACATTCTCAGCTTTGACCTTGCTTGGTTTCACTACATGAATAGAGCAGGGGGACATTGAGGAATCTATTTCCAACAAGTCCGGCTTTAGTGTGGGAGCCTGTGATGTCGTGAGATGTCAGGGTGGGCGGGTGATGTACTGTATATTTTGTCTGGACGCTCGTCTTGAAAAGAGGAAGCGAGGCTGGATGGCATTGCTGGCTAAGTAACAAGTTAAAAAAATGGCCCAAACTGTTCCAATCATGGCATAAAGTTTATTTATCCATTTTTTAACCTTTTAGTTAGCTTATTCTGTCTGACAAAAAGTCAAAAAGGTGTTACATTTACAACAAAAACTGTGAACAGCTTAAGTTTTTACTAAATGAATGACGTGTACGATCTAACTCATCATTCAAGCCAAACATGGTAGACTACATTTAAAGAGCTCATATGGAGCAACATGAGATTCAACTAATTTCTCAACACATATCAACAAGTAAAGACAAGAAGTCAGGGATCCAACCGGGAGGTCACTTCCTGTCATTTTGAACCGCCGTGCATCCTAGTGACGTCATGTAGATTCACTAAACTCCGAAAGCCACCAAATCTGTTATCTGCTACCTCTTTCTTCCTTATTGGCGAACAAAAAAGTCAGGTAGCAGTTTCTCATTTATAGCCGCTGCTGACTGTCACTTCTCCAGTTACAGTGACCTGCTGGAGCTGCGGGTCATATTAGCTGTCCCTAATTAACATCTACTCCATGAGTAACGTGATGACAGGCTGTTGTCAGGAGTATGCATTTATCTAGCCACTGTTTGTGTTTTATAGTTCCAGCAATACACACAGATTTTATACCTCTTATAATCAAACGATCGCTTCTCGTCAGTTTCAGGAGTTATATTCTCCCAGTTAACCTTCATAACATATCAATAATTTAAGCTGTTCAACATAATAGTGTCACAGCTACGGCTGTTATTTTAATGTACCAGATGCATACAGTATGTAGTCAACATTGCATATCTTCTGCTACTATAGATATAATAATGTAGCCTTTACTGAGCATCTCTGTCACAAACATTTCTCACAGGATAAATTAAGACCTCATGGTCAGCTGTGTCATTTAGGTAAACATAAGTACTGGATCGGGACCTTGTTAATTGTGACATGTATTTAAGTGCATGCATCTACAGCAATGCACTTCAGTGGTGCAACACCCTCGGGATGTGCTGTGCAGCGTTGCATCATTTGACACATGTAGCACGCACACGGTCCTGCAGACAGTACTAGTCAAGGTTCATGGAGTAAATGTGATTAAATTGGTGATATTCAGGAGCAATGATGCGTGTCGACACTAGGATGGTGGCATTTCCTGTCGTAATGATGTGCATCAATACGCCTAAACAATAAATGCCACTAGTGTGTGTTGCCCTTAATGCTGCACTAGTGAGGGTAACTGAAGTCCTAATAATGACATCATACATTTATGAACAGTCCTATCTTTTTTACTCTCATATCAAACCAGACTGTCCCTCTCTAGATACTTTGTTTATTTTTACTTACTGTGTCATCTCCCACCCCCAAAATCCTGTTTCATCAGAATGACATCACATAAGGGGGGGATATAATTTCAATGGGACCTTTAAGGTGTGATTTTACCATGATGGAGAGTATTAGTCAACAGTGTCCCACGGTAAAAAAGCCTCGGAGCACATTCATTAGCTGATCGTTGTTCATTCCAGGCAAAATCACTGTAGCAACGAAAATAGAGACATCATGTAATGGAAAACGCAGTGAGTGAGTGGTGTGTGTGTGTGTGTGTGTGTGTGTGTGTGTGTGTGTGTGTGTGAGAGACCTCTGCCTGTGGTGCTGAGTCAATATTTCAGAGGAAGTAGGACCCCGGGGGACATACTTACCCCCAGTTACTGGAGAGTCACTTCAGCGTCTATTGACTCCTTCAGAGCGCACACACACACACACACACACACACACACACACACACACACACACACACACACACACACACACACACACACACACACACACACACACACACACACACACACACACACACACACACACACACACACACACACACACACACACACACACACACACACACACACGGACGTCCAGCCAAGCACATGCTGCTTCATTCAGTCAGTGTATGACCTGTGTCAGCTGTGTCTACAATTAAAAAAAAAAACACAAAGTCACCCAGCTCCTGTGTGTTTGTAGCTGCTGACTTTGAGGCGAGATGCGAGTTTGTCAGTGCAGCATGCTCACCTCAGGCTCACACAGAAATACAAACAGCTGTCACTTATCAAACTGAGAATCTAACGTGACAAGAGTGTTTTTTGGTAAAAATCCTTCCCTCTACCGCTCATCCTTTCTACAGGCTGTGAGCTGAGGTGGCAGTGATTGCCGTCAGTGCTCCTTGACTTTGTAAAATGTTTAGACTGGTCACCTCTGAAGTCACTCATGAGGACTCGCATTTTTTTATATAAACCTTCAGTGTACTAACCATTTATTAACGGCTCTAAACTTATATGTATGTGTGTGTGTCTGTGTTTGAGCCTCAGGAGCAACTGGGGTTTAGTATATTGCTCAAGGACACTTCAATATCTAGACAGGAAAAGGCGGGGATCAAATCATCAAACTTGCAATTAATAGATGAAGATGATGATTACCTTCTCAGCCAAACCCCAAAGTTGATAAGGTAATCAGGTCATGTCAGACTGATTACAGGAACTGAAACTACAAACAGAAAAATAAAAATAAATTCTAAACTATGAAAGGCAGCATCTTGCTGGACCAGTACATGATCTCCTTGACTCCTACGTACTTACACAGAGTACATATATTTGGAGCCAGAGTAAGATGCTAGATTTAGTTCAGCATTTATTATTGCAATCCACCATGTTATTATTGTCATCATTTGGAGCTTCTGTTAACTTTTATAATGGGTGAACACTGAACTGTAGATAGATACATTACGCTATTGTTTTTTTGTTTTTTTTAAAGATTACTGCAGGCATTATGTGCTTCAACCAAATCAACCACAGATTTTATCTAAAGAACACACACAGCAAACTGAGAGCAGAGGAAGAAGAACAATTTGCTAAAACAGGAACCGAGAAACACATTGACCTTTGTCAACACTAAACTCTTCTGGCTGCAGTTTTTGACTTCACATTACACAACATTAACAAACAAATGAACCACACCTTTCCACACATAAACCTCAACATTTCAGGGTTCAGTCTTCTGGGTTCTCACAGGTTATAATATGAGAAGATTTGTTTTGCTTCTCCCTTTTAAATGAACATTAATTGAGCTGAATCCGCCCATCACCGGTCTTTGCCCAGCGGGACGGGTGACCTTCCAGTCTATTTCTCTGCCCTCTGGCTCTTCCG